GGCGACTTGATCTCCAAACGAGAAGTGGCGCATGGCAATCTGAGCTGGTTGCACTTGAAGCCTTTGCAAACCTTGACATCCCTGGAAGGCTTCAAGAAGACCTGGATGGCATCCTCGTGTTTGAATTCGTAATACTGGTCCAACATAGCCTTGAAGACTGCACCCTTGATGACCGAACAAAGGATTTCCTGGGAATTTCCTGGGGAGAAGGCAGTCCAGCCTTCCAAAACCTGAGGCTCCGCCTTGGGGTGGTGCTTCTTCCACTTACCGTTCACAAAGGCTTCAGCCGAAGCGCGAACCAAGGCGCCGTCCTCTGCCGAGATGAGATGAACAAAATCTGGGGTGATCTTGTCTATCTTCGCGACCACACCATCAGCCTTTCTCACCACGTCCTGGCCCGCCTCGAAGCCAAGGTCCGTTACCCTGNNATTGTTGAGCAAGACCCCATGGGAATCGAAGATACGCAGAGACCTGAGAAACTGAAGCTATAGTAAAATGATGCAAACAAGATCCCGGGAAAAATCACCACAAAGTACATAAGTTCTTCATCCCAAGTACGATCCCTGATCTGAAGTAGAGCTGGCCGAAGTTGTTGGCACAGTCTCCGACGGCTTTGCAACTTGAAATGGGGATGGCACGCCCAACAACGAGAGAGTCTGGTTGCAGGCTTCCTCCAAACTTTCTGCCTTCGTCACCTTGCGCTTCTGCAGCACCACGGCTGCAAACTGGATCTCCAACTCAGACACGTATTTGGACACCTCCACGTTGGTGCTGCAAACTGGCTGAATCAGGCCAGCCACTTGCTTCAGGAGCATTTCAGCATGCGTAGCCTTGTTGAGAAGCTCCTTGCTGCTCAGGGCCCTCTTCACATCGGAGACCGTCAGGATGCGCTCAGGGCCACAGAAGGCTAGTTTCAGCAACATATGGCGGAATGCGATGTGCTGGTCTTTGCCTTTCAACTCGCTGGCCAGCGATGTCCATACGTCAAATCCAAGGGACCTGGTGGGATTCCCATGGGAAACGATGTGCTTCTCGGACTGTTGCATGTAGGCGTCCTGGGCCACGCCGCCCCCGCATCGGAGAACGAACTGGAAGATGCCAGGGAGAGAGGAGGCATTCGGCGGTCTGGACCGCAGGATCTCTTGGGAGACGTCGCTGTACGACACACTCGTCTGCCCGGTTCTCTGGATGTGGGCATGGATAGCATGGTTCAGCTTCTTCGCCAGTTGCAACTCATGTTCCACAGCAGCAATTTGCCCCGCCGCATTTCCTGCGGCTTGTGCCAGGCCTGCATATTTTGGAAAGCATTCCGCTACGTCCCAACTCACGATGAGCCAGTCTACTCCCTCTTGGATGGCATGCGCCCATGAGGGGTCATGGGATCTGAGCTTCTCAAGCGAGAGGCGGCCGTCCACGCAAAGTTTGGCATCCTTGTGCGCGACGCCGGCCAAAAAGGCCCTGGCAGCCTGATTGCTGTGAGAGCCTACGATGCTTGCATAACGCAAGTGCTCGATTGGCGCGAGCTTTCCAGATGCTTCGTCAACCAACCGGCGGTTGAAGGACCGACAGGCATCGCCACGAGAATCAAGAGGAATCTCCAGAGCTACTGCTTTGACTTCTGAACTGCTAAAGCCAATTGCACCAATGGACGAGATAAGCTCCTGGACGTGTGCTGCCGACACGCCCTGGCCGTCCCGGTTGCTTTCGGAGCAGCCGATGAGTGACGCATGGATCCTTTGTTTCCAGGCAAGCTTCTTCTCCAGGAGAAAGTCGTGCAAGCGATTCACACTTTGCACGAGGCTACCTTTCTCTGCTTTATCCAAGAACTCTTGGATGGCGTTGCGAATCTCCGAGTTCATGCGCGCCATGAGCTGAGATGCTTTGATCTTTCACTACACACGTGCTGCGAGCAAAGCCCTGCAGCAGACACTCTGCGAGCGCAGCCCTGCAAAGCGAAAAACATAGCATGTGAAAGCGCACGTGAGATGTGTGAAGCATGCAAACACAGTTCCCCCTATAAACCCCGCGAAAGATATAAGGCCCATCGGATATATACAGCTACACTGAAATTTCCTTCATCTATAGGACGTCCCCCAGAATGAAAACCTAAAACAAAACACATGCGGTGGACTTGCCACGCACCATACAAGAGCCTATATGTCCTACACGAAACAAGTAAAAAATACCCTCATGAAGTCTATATGGCATAAAAACCCTTTCCAGCAAACGAAAATTTCAGAGCTTCAATTGCCAGCACAACCTTACATGAGTATAACAGTCTAACCGAACAGCAACAGGCATCCACCAAACATGAGAGAGGTAAGGAACCAAAATAGTAGAACCTTATAAGCCTTAAGAGAGCCGGCCTGCTTTGGCTCGGCCGCAGCGGCGGCCAGGGCGCCCAGCCGCAGGAAGATGGGAGGGAGCTTTGGGGTTCGGGTTTAGAGAGAACTATAGGGATGGTGATAGAATTTTGTTCATGATATAATCTTGGAAAATCTACTTTCTACGTTCTACCCCAAAAGAAAATATTCTACTTTGGCATAGATGATGGTTGCTCCTATTTTTACAAATTTCAAGTTTCAGTGTAGGGTTATAACAATAAATGACACACAGAGACTGATAGGTAGGGGTCTGCTTTTGGACTGATTTGGAATTACAACCCTCGACCCTGATACAAAATATTATCGTTTCGGAAACTAGAGGGTTCTTCAAAAATCCTAGATTTTATATCTATGCGCTGGTCTGCCTAAGTGGCATAAGTGGACTTACCGGTAACTAGGATAAGTGGCCTCAGCCTATGTATTTACCTTACTTACGCAAGTGGTTTCTAACTACTTGCTACTTACATAACTGATACATATCTAAGTCGAGTATGTTTCCTAATCCACTTACTAAAGAACTCCGATAAACACTTCCTTTGCAGATATTATATTAGGTAACCACTTCCCCCCTTAAACAGTCACAGCCTATCTGACTATTAAATTGCATATACAGTTGTAGCACTTATCACGCCACTTAGTATGGTTATAAGTTGACATACCGTGCTTATTAACCCACTTGCTGATTGGAACAAGTGCATCAACCGTTTACTAAACGCCGCGACCCTCCAAGTA